GACAGCTGGCGGAGGCCAGGACATCGGGATTTCCTGCAGGGACCGAAGCGGAAGGGGGCTCGGAGAAAGAGAAACGGAAGGCAGGGACAGTGCCAGTCCTGCTGCAGAGCACCATTCCCAATGAGCCATGATGCAGGAGTGATCAGCAGGCCATGAGCCAGCGTCTCTCCCCCATGGACCGCAATGCGTAAGTGGTGCTGACTCGGGGAGCGTGAATGGGACTCAGCCCTCTCCACCATCCTCAGTCCAACGGGAGGAGCCTGTGCTTGTGGTTCAGGATGTCCTGAATCCTGAACTTGCCACCGCAATGCCGAATGCACCGTAGGCCTCCTTCCTTCCCGTCACGGCTTGGGTGCACAGCGCTCAGCCGTGCCGACGTCACACCCTGCAATTGCGCTCCTCTGCCACTTCCATGTAGGCGCTCCAGCGAGGGGCAGTCTCTTGGGAGAGGAGGGGATTTTTCATAGCTATTCCAAAGTAACTTCTCAGTGTGAAAACAATGATTATCACTGTCTACCTGGGCTTGAAGAAAGACTAACGTGCTACAAAGCCAATTTCCCCTGCCTCCGACACTCATGTTCACATCAAAAATGCTGAATGCATTACAACCAGCCACTTGATTCGCTTCGTTAACATGGGTCCTACAACTGACAGGTAACTGCTGTTGCACAGATATTTCCACTGCAACTCATCTGGTGAAGTGGATTTTGCCCACGAAAGCTAATGACATGACATCCGTTAGGCCACCTCTAGACAAGCTTTTGTAGGAAGAGATCTTCCACAACAACTTCTTGCACAAGAGCGTCCACACCGCAAAAGCATGTAACAAACGATGCGTTTTTGCAAAAGATCGCATCCAGACTGCACAGGCGCGCTCTTGCAAGTAAGCCGTGATTGCTATGGACAGAATGGGCACCAGGGCAGCTGTGCTTTTTCCTCTTCCCTCTTCTTGTGCAAAACCCCCCTCTTCCACGTTCACACGCGCCTTTCTGTGCAAGAGCTCTTGTGCAAAAAGGCGTTCTTCCTCGTAGAATGAGGATTACCAATTGCACAAAAACCCCTCTGATCTTTCAATTTACTTGCGCACTTGAGGCATGGACGCTCCGTGAGTTTTTGCGAAAAAACGGCAGTTTTTCTGCAAAACCTCTGTAGCGTAGATGTAGCCTTAGTGTCTAAGGCGCCACAGGCCGGCTGGTTGTTTTTAAAGGTACAGACTAACAGCTCTCCTCAGAGATTTTTTTTCCAGTGTAAATCATCTTTCAGTCCGCTAGTGGCACTTTCCCTGGTGTTCTGTACAGACCCAAGGTCTCCACTGAAATGGTGCAGCAGCTCAGCTACGTCTTTTCCGTCGATCCAGCTGCTGCTTCTCAGGGAGGTAGATTGCCTACGCGACAGCAGACACTTCCCATCATGCATTGCCTACACAGAAGCAGCACAACTGTAGCACTGTACAGGTAGCCACAGCCCATGGCGTGCGGTGCAGCAGCCTGTACGAGGTGACCTAGCAAGGCCCTTCAGCCCTATGCCTCAGACTCTAGACCTGGCGAGACAGGAGACGCCAAAGGCGGTAACAGCTCCAAGCGCCAGTGCGAAGGAAGCCAGCGCTCTCGGCACGCGGCCTGATGGGAAGTGGAGATGAGGAACAGTGGGCGGGAGAACTGGCTCGCAAGCACGGTGCCGTTTCCTCTTTGGAGAAGCATTTTGGGCGTTTTCCGCAAATAGCCCTGGCTGCTGGCAGTCGCTTGCCCTCGTGCTGCCAGTCCCCGCAGGAGAAGGGAGGGGCGGGTCTCAGGGATGGTGATCAGTAAGCAGCAGTCGTCTCCTTCAGTTTGACCTAACTTGCCAGGTCTGCATAGGGGACAGTCGACTCAACAGACTCCAGTCCAGCTACATCAGCAGCGTAGCTGGAGCTGACCTACCTTAAGTCAAATTTCTGGGGCATCCCCACTGCAGGAGGTCAATGGGAGAAACTCACGTGTCAGTTTCCCTTCCACCTCACAACCCCATGGAGTACCAGGGTCAAGCGCGGTGCCATCAGTAGTCCATTTAGCAGGTCCTTACTAGACCAGCTAAATCAATCCCCGGAAGATCCCTCTCAAAGCACATCATGTGCCAAGAATCATACGACTTACTATGTAGGAACCCAAAGCTATATCCAACCCCGCAGCTGAGCAGCGTAAGCCGTTGGATCAAAATGCCTTCAACAAGTCAAAGGGCATATCACCATCCTTTGCAATCTGCATGTCGTCTTCCGTCACTGCAGGCAGAACAGAAAATCAGAAATCTTGCATTAACAGTACTAGAAATGTGTGCAGAAGGGAAATGCTTCTAGGAGTTTGGAACACAGAAATGCAGGGCTGGAAGGTGAAGACGTCACCTAGTCCCCCTCGAGTCAGACAAAGCGTACCTAGGCCAGCCCGACAATCTCCTCCCTAAACCCTCTGCTGTGGATTGCACAACTCCCACTGGTAACCGGTTCCAGTAGCGAACTACCTTTCTAGTCAGAACAGGTTTCCTCTTATCTAAGCTAAATCTCCTGCTGCAGATTTCTTCTCACCCTGCCCCGGGAGGACTCAAAACAATTGATTATGGTCTTCCTTATAAATAGTCCTCAACATAGTTGAGGACTGCCAATCTCCCCACCCCACCCCCGCAGTCTTTTTCTCACGAACACCCACCCACAGTTGCTAGGTTTTACAGTTTTTCCCCATAGGTCAGGTTTTCTGAACCTGCCCTTCCTGCTGCTCTCCTCCAGACTCTTGCAAAAGGTGGTGCTTAAACCCGGCCTGAATCCCCCAGCGGCACCTCCCTGTGCCGAGCAGAGCTGAGCAATTACTCACCATGCCTTATGGTAACTCCTGTTACTGGTAAGGACGTAAAATCCCGTTAAACGGTGGTTAACTAGTTTCCAGTGGAAAAGAGGAGGCAAAGGGGAATATGCAAGAGGTCTATAAAATCATGACTGGTGTGGAAAATGTGAAGGAGGAAACGTTATTTACTTGTTTCCACAATATAAGAACTAGAGGACACCAAATGAAGTTAATGGGCAGCAGCTTTAAAACAAATGAAAACAAGTTCTTCACACAGCGCATAGTGTCAACCTGTGGAACTCCTTGCCTGAGGAGGTTGTGAAGGCTAGGACTATAACAGAGTTTAAAAGAGCTAGATACATTCATGGAGGTTAAGTCCATAAATGGCTCTTAGCCAGGTTGGGTAAGGAATGGGACCTTTGGTCTGACCCAGCACGGCCGTTCTTACGTTAACCAATTAAGGGGGGTATGAGCAGGGGGCACTGCCTGGCCGGAGCAGTTGCTGATGGAACGGGGACCAGGCCTGCCGTGGACAGCAGCTGCAGCCTCACTGGTTAACTGTAACCGGTAAGACTATTAAGGGTGAGGCGTTCCAGCTTAACCTTCATGCCCCTCGTGAACACCCCCCAGTATTTGTTCTGCATCACACTGCTGGCTCCCATTCAACAGAGGCACCCCTAAGTCACACCTTCCTTGCGCAGCCCCGGCAACACACCGGCCTTCCTGCTGCCGCGTGGACCTACCCTTGAGAGCCTGATGGCTTTCTTGGCGTATTTCTAACCATGAGCCACAAGGAGCTGTGAACCGAGACACCCTTCGCTGCCCGTATCCATGGTCCCCTCTGGCACTTGCCATGTGTGTGTATTCACAAGGCCGAGGCTTATAAAGTATGGGATCATGTATTTAAAACAGGGCCAGCTGGATTGGTGCTTGAGAAAGCAACAGGTCTACCCCTCACTGCCATCCCCTTTCCTGGGCCGGAGGCAGAACCAAGTAGCAGCTGTGCCTCTGTGCACGCAGCTCTCCGAGGCCTCTCACATGTGTGCTGTTCAGACAGGGGCTGTACAAACTCTTATAGCAGCAGCCCACAACACCAGCAGCGAATTTCCGCAAGGTGATTGCCTGGCTTCAGCTGTGCAACTCCTGCCCAAACGAAGATCGGCAGCTCACCCCTCAGGGACACAGCGGCAGTGCTGCTACAGGTAGCTGTGGGCAACTCTTCATTCGCGTGCCAGTCGAGACCTGGGTAAGTAGCTCCCTTCCTGCAAGAAGGGACTAGCGTGTGGTGGGTGTGCACTCCGCCCTGGGACAAGCACTGGCACAGCCCACTCGTGCAGGAGGCCCTACCGCACACACACGAGCTTACCAAAGCCAACGTGTAACAGCCAGAAGGGGACAGGGAACGATGGGTAATTTTATACAAGCTGATGCAGTGCACAGGCTAAAGAAACGTGTTTTAAATACAAAGCCAATGAGGGTGGAACAGCCGCGTATCCTAGATCTTCACCCAGCCTGGCTGTTCATTCATCTGGCTCCCATTATCATCCAACTCAGCAGGTTGTTGCTGCAGTGGTCAGAGAATCCCCGGGCGGGCAGAGCCCTCGGGAGTCAGAGTCCAGCCCCTGCCCAAAGCAGGACCAGCCCCAACTCACACCCTGCTCCCCAGCTCAGTTTCAGCCCATTTGGCTCACTAGCCCTTGGAGAAAGGGACGTGCATTAAAATAGATCAAGTTAAATTGGGAATGGAAATGGAAAATTACCAAAAGGTAGCAACCAATATTTCTGTGCCAGCTGACTACGTTAGATACCCCTTCCCAGGCATCAGGTCATAGCATGCGGAGCTGCACTTCAATGTGCCTCGGTTAATTGCACCTGGGCAAGGCCATTGCCCGGGACACTTTCGAATCCAGGCGACTCCATCGCTGTATGAAAAGGGCCCAACGGAAGCTCCTTTTCAACTGGTTTCTACATGGGCCTGAGGCACCATTCAGCAGAGGGGAAAAGGAGGTTTCTTCCTCTACACTAATACAAGACCTAGGCGCAGGTTGCTAGAAAGCAGCAATATACAATTACTGCAAATACTCCAGTGGGATTATTTTAACATGTGTTTGCAACGATGCTTTGCCCTTCTTTTCAGCCCACATGCAGTGTCTTGTACTCCACACATAAATGAAAGCCAAGCCACACAGGTGGAAATCATGTGTTTATATGAACAGAAGTAGACCAGCTAGAAATAGTTCAGTTTATTTAACTTGTTAAGTAGAATATGAAACTGACTGTGTAGCTAGTTGGATCAGAGAGAGTGGACTGTTCTAGAATTGCTTGGTGTTTAACGAACACAGCTTCTACAAAGGAACCCAACAGACTTACAGAGATGGGGCCAAGCCCCATTAAGCAAATAAAGACCCCAGGTTTTAAACAGACCATACAAAAATTGATGTATACTCCATTTTCCCTTTTTGGATACCGTGAAAAAGTGCAGATTTGAACAAACAGGTAGCCATATTCTGTATTTACAATGCTGATCGATATGCTTAATACGTGAGGAAACAAAAAACAGCGTCAATTTATCACCTAGAGCCCTGGTTACTTGCCTCTTCCCCAGCTGCCACTCGACTGGGCAGGGTTAACGAGTCGAGAGGAGAAACTGCCCAAACAGAGAGGACGAGGGAGACATCAGTTGAGTTACTAAATGGCAGCAGGTCCTTTCATTCAAGTCAGGGTCATTTACTGACTTGACTAGATAGTGAAGAAAGAGAAAACCACCAAGTGCACAAAGGTCAGGCCAAGCCAGCCAGATTGAGAAAAGCAGATTTTTGGGGTTCTACTGGAACCAGTCACGTGTTCCTTGCTGGAGAACCTGCCTTAATGGTTTACATGCAGGCCGGCTGGCTGTTACACCGCTCTCCTTAACAAGGCCCCAGCTGAACACGAGCAGTCTAAAGTAGCTGGGGCCTCCATTCTCCGCACATGGCAGGGACGAAGCCATTCAATGGCTGAAGCTCAGGTGTCTCTGGGAAGCAGCGTCGCTAGAGCCTCATCTGCAGAGAATGCAGGTAAGCCAAGCAGATAAGCGAGTTCAATACCCGGGATGCCAATTCTGTCTCCCTGCACGCGGCCCTGCTAGCTTCCAGCACTCCGTGCGCTCAAGAATGACCAGCACGAAGAACATTCTTCATGCCAAACAATTCACACTGGAGAAAGGGGAAGTTGTAGGGAGGCAATAACTCAACACGACTGCCGGCTTGTTTTGGTTTTTAAAAGACTTGTTTACTTAACCATTTGCTAGGCTACCAAGTGCCCTGTCTGAGCAGCTAATGAAGACTAAGTTCTAGTAACTGTCGTCAGCTGGGGAACCGCATGTTATAGTCACACACAAAGTGGAGAACCACATCACCCTCCATCAAAAACTAGTGCATGCAAATACCTCATCCAGATGAGAAAACCCAAAGGCTATGCAAGAGGAAAGAGGGGGACACCGGCTAGAGGGAAATTAGTAGGCATAACATGAAAGCTGAATCAGTGCTTTGTATTAGCTTTGGCAAATATACGGGGTTGCCATCTTTTCATTAACACATCGCACCATGGAAAGGGAAACAAAAAGCAACATGCAGGCAAAAGGAAAGAGAAAATGGCAGCGGGCCCAGTTGTGACTGGCTAGCTCGCCCAAGGGGAGACTTTGCAGATATACTGAAGATATTTGCATCGCCCTCTGTCCTCTATTCACTACACCAACAATCACAGCAACGCAACCACAAAGGACTGGAACACTGTACAGTGGCCAAGTGTGGATGGTCTGTCTCCTGCACATGCTTCCACCAGAACTAAGGGAAAACAGTTCCCTTCCCACATAAGGCACAGGACAAAACAAACCCCATTTACATACTCCAGGCGAAAACGAGGTTTTTCCTGGCTTTGTTGCTGATGCATGGCTACAGAATACGGGGACTCAAGCACATTATCCATAACAGAAAATTCCACTGTTGTACAAAATAAATTGTTAATTCTAACTTTTATTCTTATACAATTTGCAGAAGAGAGCTGAAGTGATTGCTGTAAGATTTCATGTCAAGAATGGGACTATAATACAACCAAAATGTAGTGGTGAGTTGAGCAGACACATGAAAAATGAAGTCACAAACATGATTTTTCTATACATTTTGTTGAGAGAATGCGAGTCAGCAAGCTGTCCTAAATGGAAGAACAAAGGGTGGCTGGAGCTCATTAAGATGAGGAACGAAACATTCCTTTCAGGTTAGAAGTGGGCAAGTGGTTTATTTCGCAGCAAGAAAAAAAGGGGTGGTGGATGGCGATTGGTGATCGAGGAGAACGTTCAGCAACACTTGCTCTTCCAGCCCGTCACCCCTCCTCCACTGCTGATATCTACATTTTCACTGTTGGGCTCTTTTACAGGGGTCTGCAACAAAACACGCCAAAGAAATTCCAATTACTTTCTGAAGAGACGCAAGCATTCAGCACTAACCGGACATCAGCATGGTCTGACATGCTTGTATCAGCAAAAGAAACATGCCCAGAAGTCAGATGTGGTCCTCAACCACCACCGAACTTTGGAGTCAAACTCCGTAGCTGAGTTGCACCAGTTCTACCATCTCTGAAATCCATGACCCCTGGACTTTGGGCCCAACCTGCAAAGGTGGCTCCATCACTAAAATAAACCCAACGTGGCTTCCAGCCCTGGCTTCGGGAGCTACGTGGGCCTTGCTTATCCTCCCAACAGCTCACAGAAGACTAAGTCGACACACAGGATATTAGCTTAGAAGAGACTGAGCTACAAATCTGAGTAGCATCCGTGAGGGCGGTGCTAAGCATTCTGTGGGGTCCCGATCACCTACCCCAGAGAGGGCTCTTGCAGTGTGTTTTGGTAGGCAGCTCAAACACGTTGCCTCTGGTTTGGCTACTGTTCAGGCAAGTCAGTCTCCCCAGCAGCTAAGACTTCATATTTTCCATGTAAGCCATTTTCTCACATCACACAACCCCCTTGAAAATAGCTCTCTCTGCTCTGCATTTCCAGTTCCACCGTGGGGACTGGTCTACTGCAGGAGCTCCCCCCACGAGTCACACGCTGGGCCTGCTCTTCTGTTGCAAGTCTGGAGGCTGGCACATTTTCTGTGAAGCACTCGCACGTCTAGTCAGGAGCTGAGAGCCGAATTCTGAGAGCGCAAGACACCCGTGTGTGCAATCTTGGTCAGACCTCACAAACATTCCACTCAAGTGGTTTTGCTCAAATGCGAACTTCTATTTTCAGCTGCTTACAATGCGATCCGAGTGATCCACTAGAATATTGCTCGGTCACAGCTAGGTTTCTATTTCTCTTCCTCCTTTACCACAGCAGCTCTGCAGCGCTAAGGAAATATCTGCAGTTTCAGGCACACACGGAAGTCTGGAGCAGCCCAGGGCAGCAACAATTCAGCATTTTACAGCTCCCAGTGCCCCAGACTGCCTGATTTGTGCAATAAAGATGCAGTCTAAGAAACGGAAGCATCCATAGCTTTTCCTGCGTGTGCAGCGGGTCTGCCAAGCTTGCAGATCCACACCACTTCAGCTACCTTCTCAGCTCTTGCTACGATCTGGAGCTGGGATTTTAAGCCATTCTGGCTTTTTCAATATGCAGTCTAGAGAAAACTTTGGTGGGCACTTACCTTTCGAAGAATGTCTTCTGCTAATGTGAGGAATGCCTTCTCAATGTTTATATTTGCTTTTGCACTAGTTTCGAAAAACCTAATACCATGCTCCCTCGCAATCTAAACCAAGAGAGACACACATTAGCACCAGAAATCTCCCATGCACAGGTTACACATTGATGCTCAATGGTAATGCTGGTTAGTAAGCAGCTTGCAGTAGCAGGTACAGTATTTGGTTTTCAGGGCTACTACAGCCAAGGGCAACCCTGGCTAGTGAGTGGGCCTCATGGCTGGCCCTTCCTCAGCTCAACGGACTGCAAGACTGGAGGGTAGCTTTGCCAACTGAGTTGTGGGCGGTGCCAACTGAATCGTCGCAGCACTGGGACTGGATGCAGAGGGAGTGCACGGCTCTGTCAGTGCTGTGTGCGATCAGCACGCACCCCGCCGTATGTGCCCTGGCTTTACTACAGGTAGGAAGAGTGAGAGGCATGGAAACCCGCGGAATCGGTCAGTCCTGCACAAAGTGCCTTGCGGGGCCGTACACAGAACCCGCCTGTAGCCCTCGGGCCGCACAATGCCGCCACTGGCTTACCAGTCAGTCAAACGGCTAGGGGAGGGGGAAAACATTCTAGTGCTCCGTGAGGACAGAACAGGTTTGCTGCAGGTACGGGGTATTCAGACAATGAATTCCACAGGAGTTACAAAATCTAGCGTATGGGGAACGTTAAAAGCAAAAGAGAGGAACATGCCTGACCACCTGAGTTCATGCTACCTGAAAACTACCTACACGGTAGCTGTTCACCACACAACTCCAGGAAGGACCCTCCTGGACCTACAAGCCATCAGCCTGCCCTGCACTAGTCATGGCATTCTTTGGCAGGTGGTAAGATGGCATTTCAATTCTCTAGTTACCCCCCCTCCCACCCCTCCAGACAGCCCCAATTGGAGACTGGCCAGTTGGATGACTCCATATTTGCCATCTTTGCACACAGTGGAAGGTCTCCCGAGTGACTGCAAAGAAGTTCTTGCTGGACACTCACCTGCTCTCCTTTTGCTTTAGGTACGACTCTCTTATCTTCCATGTCACACTTGTTTCCTAACAGCATCCTCTCCACGTCTTCATTGGCATGCTAGAGCAAGAGCAAGGAACAGCTCTTGAGAGGGGCTCAGTGGCTCAGAGAACATGCACGTACCGTGTCCACCTTGGGCGCTCCGGTTCCCTTTCTGTGCTAGAGGGTGGCCCGTCACCTGTGGTGGTGTCAGCAGAGCTGTGCCGAGTGGCACACCCCTAAGGGGAGGCTCTGCACAGAACTCAGACCCTGAAAGCGGGCTCTCCTGCTTTTAACGGAAAACTTTTCCGTTAAAAGCATTTCTGGAAAATCATGCCAGTCTAGACGGAGCTGGAGAGAACAACTGTGTGGTTCATAGCTAAGGCTTCGTCTATGCTATAAAGTGTGGGGAAGAGCTCTCCCAGTGCTCCAGATAAATCATCTCCATGAAGGGAGTGGCTAATGGCACCGGTTGTTGCCCGGTTTACAATGGTGCTTTATAGTACAGTAACTTGCTAAGCTTGGGATGAGGAGGGATTGTTTTTCACACTCCTGATCCAGAAAGCCGCAGCTCAGTAAAGTGGCAGTGTAGACGGGGTGTGAGCGTCAGCTGGGTGCACCCACAGGCTACTCATCTGAACCCTGACTCCTGGCTTGGGGGAGGGTTTCACTCCAACCAGGGATGCAGCCAAGAGGAGAACGGACGGTCACATGGCTGCTCAGACAGACACACCACTGTGCAGGGAAGGAATTTCAGAATGCACATCTGAAGGGATCTAACTGCGTTACTGGACGTCTATGGGAGCAATTTCAAAGCCTGTAATAGTGAATACTGAGAAAGCCTCTAGACCAGGCCCGGGCAAAGTACGGCCGTGGGCTGAAGCCAGCTCGCCCCAGGCAGGCTCCCTTGCTTGCTCCACACACCGCTCAGAAAAGGAGCTTTAAAAACTGTGAGCCCGGAGAGGAGGGGGGCGGTTTCA